GTGCTGCAACTATAAGATCTTTCTAGCATGGCCATCCTCCCTGAATTCTTGAAACTTGTGACTTGCAAATTGGAAATGAATCTGTTCAGTGAGGCTTAGCATGATTTTACAAGTCAGATACAAGTATTTTGGGGGGACATCCACATAGGGTTTATATGCAAAGATGAACATGAAAGCACATTCCTGCCTTCGAGAGTCTGGCTACCAGAGTGAAAAATACTTGCTCTTATTCTTAATACTTGAAGATAGTAAAGTAAATTTCATCTTCTGTTGCATAGATTTTATGGAAAGAACTCTTCTTATGTCCATGGTGGCTTGGATTCAAATGGAAAACCAGCAGATGCTGTCTATGGACAAAAGGTAACCATGCCAAGCTTTCTGAGGGTGGCAAGCAGTTAAACTGGTATTTGTTGAGAAGTTATGCCGTATCACAATTTTTCATGATATATTCTGAAGTTTTCTGCGTTAAATGTATTAGAAGACTGCTTTTAACATGACAATCATTTACTCTAGGCCATTTTTAAGTTTTTAAATTCAGAATTATTTTAAAAGACTAAAAGTGTAGTAAGACCAATTAAAGTTAGCTCTGTGTATTTTGTAATTTAGCATGCAGATAGAGCTGTGTTAACAGATATTTTGGTTAAAGGTTTTTGTGAATTTTAAGGTATTAACTCTTGCCTTAAATCACTAGGAAATCCATAGGAAAGTTATGTCTCAAAACTTTACTAACTGCCACACTAAGATTCGCCATGTTGATGCTCATGCTACTCTCAATGATGGTGTGGTGGTCCAGGTGATGGGACTGCTGTCTAATAACAACCAGGCTCTGAGGAGATTCATGCAGACATTTGTCCTTGCTCCTGAGGTATGTGGGCGAGTGATTGTTGCTACTACATAGGAATCACATACATGAAAAAAGAAATAGTGACAGGTTATGCATGTCTTTACAATTTTTAATTTTGAAATTTTAAACTTACAGAGATACTGCCAGGGATTTTACAGTTAATTCCAATACATCTTACCTTAGACCTGCTTTCTCTAGTTTGATAGAGATTGGGTTGAATATATAGATTGCTTTGTGTAGTGTTGGCATCTCAACAGTATTAAGCTTTCCACCCCAGGAGCATGGGATGCTTTCATCTTCCTCGATAACTTTATTCTTAGGTATTTTATTCTTTTATGTGCTATTTATTATAAGTGGACTTGTTCTTAATGTAGATGATTTGTTGTTGGTATGTAAAAGCAACTAAATTTTGCCTGTTAATCATGTGTACTGCAACTTTGCTGGAGTAATTAGTTCTAGTAGCTTTCTTGTGAAATCTGTAGGAATTTTATGCATATTGATATCACTGACATTTTTGAAGAGCTCAGTCAAAGCTATTTTGCAGAATGTGCTTTGTGCATTTTCTGTTTCGCTGTGGTTAGCCTAGAAGGGCACAGAAGTGTCGTTCACACTAAAAGCTCTCCGGGTATTAATGCGGCTGGCTTTTATCACTTAGGTTGTGTTCACTAGGTTCCACCCCTTTAAAATGGGGTGTTTTTTCCGTAGAGCTCCTTGAGACTACAAATGTTTTTTTCTTCATCGTACCTTTACATACTAGATTAAGCGTTAAAAGACAGTGGAAAAAGAGAAAACGATAGTGGGATTTTTCTGTGAGCTTTTTGAAGCCCCCTCATATTAATTGGCATTGTATGGTAAAGAACTTCCTCATCTCTTGATTATCACCTAAGGAATTTTAATTTACTTAATGAATTATCTGCTACTAATATTTTGATGTATAAAATGTCCCAGATGTGACCCCTTCAAGCTCTAGTGTCTTTATTCTTTTAGCATCTTCTTGAATTGTAAATATGCAAAGAATCACGTGCCCTGTGATGGTCTATAATATGTTTATGTTTAGCTCCATTTTTTCTTTTAAAGGGGGAGGCTGTAACTTCATTTTTATAGATGTGGAAACAGCTTCAGAAATGACATAGATGGAATCGAGCTCAGATGAATCTTTACCAAGTGTGAGCAAGCTTTTTCTGCTACACCTATTCCTTAAGTGCTGGTATAAATGTTCTTGGATACAGATTTTTGAGTTGAAAATATCAGTTATTCAAGATTTTATCTTAATGTTTGAGCTTTCAGCTGTGGCATCTTAGAACTTCATCCCTCTGTTGATGAGGATGAATATTTTGAGAAAGCAAAACATGTCTTTTCACAGCAGGGAAGGGTTTTCAACCTCAGCACCATCAGTGTTTTGGGCTGGAAAATTAATCATTGGGACTATGCTGCACATCATAAGATGCTTTGCAGCCTCCCTGGCCTCTGCTTGTTGGTGCCTGTGACAATCCCCCCAGTTCCGAAAACTGCGCTGTCATTAGATTACCAAATATCATTAGAGATTGCCAAAGGTCTTAGGAGATTAGTAACAATGATTTGACTCTTTAAATGTGCCGAATAAGTGAAAATTTTTGTTGGTATTTCAGGGCTCTGTTGCAAATAAATTCTATGTTCACAATGATATCTTCAGATATCAAGACGAAGTTTTTGGTGGCTTTGTCACGGAGCCTCAAGAGGGTAAGTAAAACAGCATCTTTAGAAACATGGTTCCATGAATGTTTTCTTTATATTGCTCTTTGTTAGCCATACCTTTTAATTATCAAAATGTGATGGGTCTTGTATTAGGATGCTTTAGTTTCATACATGTTGGCAGAACACAAGAGACTCTTGGGTTATTGCCCACACTACCAGTAGCGCATTTTTGCCGTAGTTTTCACAGGGCACTTAAGTTAAGGCCAGCTGTGGGTGTTATACTAAACCAACACAAAACAGACGCCTGGCCATTGGGTTGATTCCAACTCATTTCAACCCTACAGGATGGAGTAGAACTGCCCTTGCACGTTTCCGACACTGTAACACTTTACAGGAGTAGGAAACCCTGTCTTTCTCCATTGGAGCAGCTGGTGGTTTCAGATGGTTGAGCTTGTGGTTAGCAGCCTAACTCTTCACCACACCAGGGCTTCTTGGGGTGTGTTGCAGGGCACCCATAGCTATTTAATGACTAGTAGCCCTGCTTGCCCTCTAGCTAGAGAGACAATCTTCTAAAACCGTTATACGCTGTTCTTGAAAAGACAGTCCAACAAAGGGTGGCCGTTGCCTCAATTGTCAGCTACGTAGAAACACAGAGACTGGGAGAGAATTTTTCCACAGCACTGATTAATAGTGTTCATTTTCTGTATGATTGAGATTGTTCTAAGTGTTTCTTTATATGAAAGGGCTTCAAAAAGCTTGTGAGAAAATGAATTTAACGACACTGGACGTTTTCTGTGGGCTTTCTGAAGCCA